TCCCTACCCCATCCCTCCCCAGCAGACCCTCCATTCCCTCCGCACATCCAACCCCAGAATCGACGGCCGCTTCCTGCTTGGCGTCGGGTTTGATAAACGACCGGCGTGATTAAAGAGGGGGAGGTGAGTGAGGAGAGAGAGAGATGGTCAGGTGGGATGGGGGTAGGGAGAGGAGAGAGATGCACGGGACTAGTAGCCCCGTGCACTTCAACAAAGTTTCTTCACAGCAAAATCGACCCAAAAGGGTCGATTTTGCCAATTATTTTCTTGAACGGTCGATTTTGCCAATTAATATTAAAAAATGTTATTTTTAATAATTTGTCCAATATAAAACTTCGGAGTTTTAGTGCAACAATAGGGACATTAAAGCTACTAACGTTGAGTTAGACTTTGTAAAACATTATTGATATTTATATTAATAACAAGGAAAAATAGGTATGAGGTGATAGCTCATTTTACAAAATGAGCTATCAAGAGATGCACATATAATTAGGCTTGCCCTAGTTGTCATATCAAAATGTCTAGGCTCATTATTTTATCTCTTTGTAGCTAATTTTGCTAAATGAGCTGCCAACTCACAATCATCAAATCGTAATGAAAATGACAATGATAAAATTATGAAAACATGGACCGAAGTGGAATTTCCTATGTATATTGTTACATATAATCAATACAGTGCCTACGCATGAATAAAAGAAATAAGTTTAGGCAATCATTCAAGAATGATGAAAAAAAACTCATATCAAACACATTGGTATTTAATAATAATAAGTCATTAAGCCCTAATACTTAGCAATGATACGAGAGCATGAAACAATTTAATTGTCAAAGAGATACAAGAATAGGCTGCAATGCAAGGTTGGATATCAATCTGACTGAGAAGTATATGGGGTTATAAATTTGTTAGCAAGCACATAAATCATGAACTGACGCCTAGACAAGATTAACAAACATTATACTGACATAAAGGTGATAAAAAAAACTTTAAAAACCTAATTAATAGTTTCATGAAGATGGACTTCAACTAACAACAATTTCACGAACACTAAATTTTGATAGTGACACTTAAAGATGAACCACCACAACAATACTATGGTCATATAAGAAAGCAAAGAAAGAGTAATATGTGTAATGAATGCATATCAACCATTTGCAAATTCCTAGATAAAAGAAGGTAAGATTCATACTTTTATTTCTTTATTAAATTGGACAATACAAAAACCATGACGACCGTATTCTAGACATATGGATGAGCTAGATCTTCATTCTTAAAATTACAAAGATATTACATTGGATCTTACATATAGACTTATCAAAATGGGTTTACATGCATTAATCACCACAGATAGTCGATTTTCTTTATTGTGCACTACTTGCAAATGAGGAAGAAGACACATTTGTTTGATTACTGACGGAGCAGTTGAAGAGTATAAATAGAGTAGGCTAATTTCTATTATTATGGATCGAGGTCACTTATTGTCCTTACAAAACCTTGCATGGTAAAGAACTCCTGAGCTATTTTAGTAGGTAGAAACATAGTAAGTAAATAGATCCATGTCCAACATTCAAATGCACTAAAAGAAAATCCAATATACATGAGAATGAGAAAGGTTGGTTACATAAAATATATGAGTGAAGAAGTTATTGGTTTTCATGTTATCTCAAAGATACTTTCTTTGCATGAATGACATTAATTAAGCAAGCACATGAAAGCATAAATGCCTTTTATGAACATATGTTTTTTTTTGAAATAAAAGTAATTTATATTAACGAGAATCAATGGAAGGTACATCAACAATAATATCCTAACCAATGAACTCCAAAAAAGATTCAATTCAATAGTAATGCATGCTACTCGCAGCTCTAAACTTCGCAATAGAATCAACAACCTTGTTGCCTTATCCCATTAAAAATAACTGGTATGAACGAAAATTGCAAGCCTCCAACAAAGTAGACTTACATATGTGAGCAAATGCCGTTAAGCTATTCTCATCACCATTTAACCAATTGACAACCATATTTACATCCGATTCAAAATCAACCATAGAGCCTCACATACTTTTAGCAAAGCAAACACCTTGGAGAAACATTAAGGCCTCCACCATGGATGGTGAAGAGAAAGCAATACAATCTACCTCCACGGGCACTAATGAACTAGCCGCAATAATCCTGAATCACCACCTCATAGCCTATTTTCCTACTGTCATCCAAGAAGGCACCATCACAATTAATTTTCCACTAGGTTAAGGCAAGTGGTCCCCAACTTTTTCGCTGCTGTAAAATCCCCCATGTACCCTCATATGTATCCCCATCAAGTTCTTTCACGTAACCACCCACACCATCTTAGCTCTTATCTCTGAAGTTACCACCTCTTCTCTCACACAATATCGGTTATGACCAAACCACAAACCGTAAAGGCAGGCCTCACATCGACCTCCTCTTTGTGTTGAAGTAAATTAATAAGTTGAACCCACCAATCCAACATGGAGAACATTAATTCAAACAATGGAATAGACAAACTCACTTATGTCAAACTTCCATTGCTCTAGAACATTGCATCAAGACATTCCATTGCGATTCCATAGGGATTACCCACA